TTATTGCACGAAGTATCCTTTTTGTTTGAAAATGTATCTGTACATATAGTTTCTAATTCATATGGAGATTGTTTCAAAGGTAGTAAAAAGTCAGCGGTGTCATTCGATAAAATATTTTCCAGAGTCTCGGTTTGGTTGTGTCAGAAATCGATATTTTCAAAGTCATCTATACAATCAATTTTCATTATCTCGCTAGCTTCCTTTGTATCCATTTCGAAAGAATCGATATCGAATGCACAAAATTCGGAGGAATATAACCGATCGTTTGACATCGAAGTATCGCAATCGCCTCTTCCCTGTTGTTCCTTCATTGTTGCTTTGGAATAATTACTGGAGCTATCTTCATAATCACATTTTTTCTTATTATCAAAATTGACATATTGATCATCCCATGATGATCCTACAATTTGATCTTCGGTGAACGTAGTTGAGACGATACACATGTCGTTTGAATTATCTATACATTCTGCTTTTTTCTCAGCGTTTGTAGTCATAATACGTTCATCGGTAAGATTTGAAACATAAACGTATTTACTGTGGTCATCGTGGTTATCGTAGTCATTTAACATGTAGATTACATTTGTATCATAAGGTAGCTCAACATCATTTTCGTTATCGTTAAACATATTATGCAAAGTATCCTGTGTTTTTATCAAATCGTCATAATTAATTTGGGGCATGACTGCTGACGATTGCTGAAGAAAGTCCTCCTGAGTTTTACTTTGGACATTGTTGAATAAGTAATCAGTATTCGTTATCCCATCCATTTCTATCTTCGGGAAATTTTTCAATTCATAATCCTGCACTTCTGCATTTGAACCAATCTCGAAAGAATTAATATCGTGTGTGCAAGGTTCTGAAGGATGTATTCGATTGTTTAATATCGAAGAGTCACAATCGTTTCTCTCTTGTTGTTCCTTCATCATAGTTTCGGAGTATTTAGCAACGTTGCTATAATCATTCATTCGTACATTATCAAAATGTTGACTGTACAATGCTGGTTCTATAATTTGATCTCCGTTAAATGTAGTTGAAACGGTGCACGTATCGTTAGATTTATCTAGACATTGCACTCTCTTTTCAGCGTGCATGGGCATAATACGTTCACCAATATGATTCACGACATAAACGTGCACATCAACAGGCATAGGCACTGTTTTGCAAGTTATGTATTTTTGCGCTACATTACAATCTGCACTTGCTGGTAATTCTTGCTTGAAACAATGCTGATCTGCATTACTATTTTGGCACATCTTAAATACAGATATTGTTTCCATGGCACTTTCTTCCTGAGAAGTTAATACCTCCTTATTTTGCATTACTGGGTTGCTATACGAACTAATTACATTTCCTGTCACGTATGTTACATGTGATGATATATGATTCTCTGGTTTACTTTTGTTCAACACATTTGCCGTAACTTTGATATCCTTAATATTCTGATCAACAAACATTGGTGATTTTATGTAATGCGAGTTGTAATCATGTTGTTGTATTTCATTTTCCTTCATAAAATCCAAACAAGTATGTTCATTTTTTTGGAGATCAATACAATAAACATCATTCAATGAAGATTTGTTGCTATTTGAAATATAACTAACTTTGTTATCAGAAATGAACTTGTGTTCAAAACAAGTGTTTTTGACTGAGATTTTGCTGCTCTTATTAAAACTTTTCTTATTAGCTGCCACGAGCTGACTTGATGAAGATTTTAAATGATTGATATGCTTTTTGTTTTTTTTAATGTTTTCCTCCATGATTCTTAGATATCCCAATTTAATCTTCTTTCTTTTTACTTTGCTTATTTCGACATCTCCAGTTATATCAATAATTATAATTTTGTTTTGTTTGTGTTTCATTTGTCCTGCTTTTTTCTTATTTTTTTTTAATGACTTATTTCGGTCGATACTAGATGTATTATGACTTTGCAAATCACTTATATGGTCTTTACTTATTTCCTGCTTAGATCCATTAGAATTACTCCAATGAAATAGCGAATTTATTTGATGTTTCTGAAAAAATATCGTTCTATATATTAAAATTATACTTTTTGTACAATAAATGCAAATATTTATTTTTGCAAATAATGTAAAATAAAATACTATTAAAAGAGCTAAACAAAACTACATTACCTGAAATTTTGAAGAAGTCTGATTGATACAAATCATTTTAGTACGTTGTAAATCTCCGAAATTATTATCCATTTTGTCTTCAAATAGCAAAAAATGATCAAGAGTATGCTTCAGATTTACATGTAATAACCATGGTATTTCATTATTTGCATTTTTAGGCGGTTTAGGCACAAATTTTAATTCATCTCTCAATTTTGGCATGCGCGATCTTAATAGCTTTACAGCTAAATCATTAATTTTTTTCTTTTTGTTAGAAGTTTCTTCCACTTTCTCCCACATTTTAAAGGCGAGCAAATATCTGACATAAGCTATATCAGTTATAGATTTAGTTATAGATGTCATTTTTGTTTCAAGATTAGCGAAACTCTTCCTATATAATAAAATATATATTTAATGTTACCTTAAATTCTGATATTTACAAATTTGTTTGTTATATGTTAAGGAAGAGCTTACGTACATAAATATATGATTACAAATTTTTGTATACTTTTCCATGTTTTTAATTCTAAGTAATACCTTGAAAATATGCTCTTCCGAGTTATCTATAAACAATTTCATGTTAGATACAAGAATTATCTGTCAACAGAATCAGTCTGTATGAAATTATTTCTACACACTTACTTAAGTATATGTACAATGCTGCCAAAATTCTTGCAGCAATTTTAGAATCTCTAACACTGATTGGATAATGATTGGAAGTTTTTAACTCCATATCTATGTATACATTTAATAAAGCTGACATTTTATTCAGATATGAACTATGATCAGCTATGTCCTGAAGATGAAAAATTATAACACACATATATCTTTTATACTCAATTCTGCAATTGGACGAAAGATAATTAGAACTGATAATACCTGTTTTATATCAAACCAATACAAGTGAAAGAATATTAGCACATTATTAATGTGCTTTTTCAAATTGTAAATGACTGCATTACCAAACTTGACATTGCTTGAAATGTTAGAACGAATATTCCTGAAATGTGCAATTGTAAATATGTATCTATGTACTTTTCTAAAATAAACTGATGTGTAAAATTTGTACTTGTAAAAAATAGTTACAGATACATTTAGAGATAAAATTTAGTTCTTGCTAATTGGTGTAGATGATCTTACTGTGTGTAGAACAAAAGTGATTCTTCAAGATGTTGATAATTTCTACTTCCTGTGGATGAACGTATAATTTTATGGAATTCTGATAACCATGGAAAGACTTCTTCAATCGCATTTGGAGTTTTTGAACGCTCCTTTGCAGTTTTGCTGTTCTCATATTTAGAAGTCATATTTGTAATTGATATCTTCCTTTGTAGTTTCCTTATGGCATAAATTGTTTGCAATTATGACTGTATCGTAAAAAATTATAAATTAAGTTACCAAACAGTTTTACAGTTTAATATAAAGATAAATTGTTTGATCAATCCTTATTTAACGACTAAAACAGATTGAACAAACTAATGCTTATATCATATTATAATCATTATAATAAATTCTAAAAATAAACTTTCATAAAAAAATAATAATTTTTCTTGTACTTTATATTTAATGAAATATAAGATAATGTATAAATTAAATGTTAAAGTGTTATGTTCAAATAAAACAATTTAATAATAACTAAAAAAATAGTTTACCCAATAAATAATAATCTAACTTGCATAATAATTACTGGAAAAGTTAAATTATTGAAATCAAAGTCCTGATATATTTAAGAAGATACTTTGAGTGTCAATAAAATTCTTCGTTGTAGAAATCGCATCAAACACGTTTATAGTTACATGTTCTTATATGTGGAATATGCAAAAGTCATTTTTGTGCAGCAATAAACACGAAAATGATAAAAGTTTGCGAAAAAAATATATCTCTTACAATGCTTATCGTACCGTGACTTCTTCGTGTGTTGAAGCCTGTCAACGTAGAGACTTTTTCCCGGGCGATGTCTCTTCCGAGTTGCATCAGAATCACGACGGGGTTTCGTGCCCGGCAGTTGCCTTTGTATATTATGCGCACCGATTGGAACGAAGCTAAATTACAGCTTACCAAAGGATTGTAACATCTTGAGATTTGCAATTATTAATATCGATAGACACGTTTTTTCGTAGTTGCTACGATGACACATACTCAACTGCTGCATCGTGTGACCGACGTCACAGTGCGCCGCCTATAATCCTAAGGGTTGAAACTTGCACTTTACTTTGCAGGCACCATTGGCAGGCACGCAACCTTTCTCACAGTTGCGCAGACGCAAATGGTAAAACTTGACGCTTCGCGTCGATCTGCTGCGACGCCACCGTGAGCGTAGACTGCAGAGCTTGCGCAAAACGATCGTTGTCATCACATCAGGAATGTAACTTTCGCGAGGACATAGCTAGGGCAATTCGCGCACTGTAATTTGCAATAGAATGGGCGGTATTCATAGTCCGTTCTTATATTCAAGATCGTCTTAAGCACGAACTTATATTCGCTCTCTTCGTCAGACACAATCTATGTGTGACGAAGAGAGCGAATATAAGTCCGTGCTTAAGACAATCTTAAATATAAGAACGGACTATGAATACCGGCCAATGTCTATTCATTTCGCATATTAAATATTAGAAAAAATATTTTCAGTTAAATTTTCATCTTCGTACGGAAACAAAGTCCTGTTTTATACAGAACGTTTACAATACAAAAATTAATACAATTAAGCATACAATTTATTTTACTATACTCGTTCTACGTCATCTACAGAAAATTGCAACGTAACAAATCTTCAAATATTTTATAATATTCTGCATGTATATTATCATTGTTTGTACGTTACATTTACAAAAATTTGCAAAATTATTGACAACGATCATCATACGAGTGTATCGTGCATCCTTTACGTACCTGAGACTTGGCCGAAACCCCCACCATCATCGACTGCTCGACGGCACACTCCGTCGCATGAGTGGTTCGTCTAGATTGCCGGTTAGCGGCCGAGCACGTATGTGACATGGCGTCCGGGTAGAAAGAAAGTTAACTGCTAAATAAGCGTTAATGTTGTTTTTATGACATTGACCGACCGAAAAGGGAACATCCGAGGCCGCGAATTTCCCACAGACACTGGCATTGATGGTAATGCATGCGAGGAAACCGCAAAGGATCAGCGATGGGTAGGGCTCTGCCGTCAAATACCCGATACTGACACACGACCAACCTCTCTTTCTCTCTCTCTCACTCTTTCTCTCCCTCTCATTGTCTCTCTTACTCTCTCTCATACACCATCTCTCTCCCTCTCTTTGCACCAACTCGCCTCACTTCCGACGTCCGTCCATTCGTCCGTACGATCCACTCGACTGCACACACGCACCGCAACACTCACTGCCACAACTCGCTGCACGACGTTTCGCGACACGACGAATTTCCACGATGGGAATCCGTTCAGGTGCCGTTCCCCGTGGAAACGACCGCAGCAGCGGACAGCGCGCCACGACCTCCCTCACTCACGGCCCGTTGTCTTATGATTCCAGGTACTTCGAAAAGCACCAGGCCCATCCCTATCAGGTAAATATCTACCTCCGCCGGAACGATTGGTGGACCGAAGGTTCGGAGGGGGGTGTAAGATTTTCTTACACTTCGACGGCAACCTCACGTCGTTCTGATCGCTCGTCATCGTCGAACAACACGCATTATTTTCGTCCGCGAGTACGCGTCGTCGCGCGTGTGACACGTTCGAAGAAGGAAGGGCGAGATTGTTCCGGTTCTTGCGCGCAGAATACGTGACCGAGGGCGTCAGTGACAGCACTCTTCCCTGCAGAAGAGCTTCAAAGTTCGTATCCATCTCTTAACCATCGTCGAGCCGCGCGCGCGACGGTCCGCTGTTGCCTTTTCGCAGAAGAAACTCGCGGTTTCGGACAGAATCGATAACGTACGCTCGACGATCCCGCGAATTTGACGCGGTAAAATCCAGGCGACCGTTCGCGTTCGCGCTCGTCTTTTACGTGCCTACATTTCCGCGAGATTGTTTGTTTTTCTTTCGTACACGCTCACGTCTTGTCAGACTCGTCCTCGTCATTGTGTCGTCGCGATTCTCTCTTGCAACGGTGTTCCAATTTCTCCGTACGATAGATTTCTCAATTTCGTCGTTCTGCAGGTTGAAGGATCAACGGCGTTTCATCTAATAGTCGCGATTAACTTAATTACTAGCAATTTGGAGTATCCTACGTGTGAAACTCGGTCCGCGGTGCGTTTTAACGATGAGGCTTTGTAGGCAAAAAGAATCAGCTCTGACAAGTGGCATTTCAGAGAATGTTTTTGTCGATATGTACGTGCTCGTTCAATTAGGCGCATCATCGTGATGCGAGTAATTACGTTGAGGTACTTTAGGTAAATTTATGGAATAACTATAATTAGTTTTAAAGAGAGTTATATCCATATTTTTCATTGATTGTTCTTTCTTGAGTCATACATCATTTATGCTGAGTGAAATTAACAATTAAATATGCATGTTCGCTCCGGTGCTTTAAATCAATCCACACGAGATGCAAAGAACGGTAATTAATCAGAATATTGCTAAGTTTTTACGTCTAGTATACAATAATGTCCTGTTAGTCTTGTAAACATAACCTCACTTTTCGAAAAATCAATAATTTATTCTAGCAAGTAATGCTTCAAAAATGTTTGAGTATCACTTTATTTAGAATCTTATTCCAATGTCTTTTATTTTAATAGTTTTTATTATATTTTGGCTTGTATTTTCTGTTTAAGACTATTGCCAATGTAACAATTCTAATAGTTTTTTTGTATTTAGAACATCTTGAGTATATTTTAAGATATCTGTTTTTAGAATGCAATATTAAGAACTATTTGTCTTATAGTTTTATTGAGATGTTTAGACAATTAACAAGACCTGTTGGCATATATATATGAAAGTGATTTATTGATGTTTTTACAAAATCATTGGTGACGATGTAGAAACAGCTAACGATTTAGAAAAACGCAAAGATTTTGTAGAATTGTTAAATCAGTCATTTTTACTATGAAAAATATTGCTTAATATTCAGTATCCAATTATTTGTTTCAGCTTCTTTCCATATCGTTAAAGTCCAATCAATATAAACTCTTACACACATCATCCTCACCTATCCATACACACATTCCTGTGGACAGTCATCAGACCAAACAGTCTATTCTTAAGTTTGATTTATCAAATCTGCAATATTTAACGTTAACAAACTTACATATTCACAAAATGAAAAACATAAGTCTGTGCAATCTTGATATATCTTTAGTTGCATGAACCCCTTGTTCGCTATATTAATAATCTGATTGTAGAACGCGAAATACAGCAGTTCTAAGGGTGGCTACTCATCTTCGACCACATCGTCGGATAGTCGCTACGAGGGACGTATGCGCGACTCTCCAAATGGTAACTCTTACAGTCCAGCCGGCAGCTTGGGAATGGGCATGGGGATGGACCGGGATAGCCCTCGGAATTACACATCCAAGCCTCTTTACAAGAAGGAGAGAGAAAATAGAGACTATAAACTATCCTCCTCTAGGGACAAGTATTCCGGTAAATAATCTTTGTTGCTCTTCTCAACATTTCATATTTTATATTTTGAAAGACTAATGAGCGGTAAGAGAGAAGCGTATATTTGTAAATATTATTGAAATTACAAATACAATCAATTCAGTTTTATCAATTGTACATGAAATGTATAGGTTAATGATAGTTTTCATGTTTTTTGCAGTAATACAATTTTTCTTTTATTTGTGTAGAGTCTCGTCTCCCTCTTCTTTCTTCAGTATAAAAACAGAATTGTCTCTTAACATTTTCAGCTGTAACATGCTTGCTTGCATATGTGTAGATTGTGCACGATCCCCAAAAGACAAGAGAAGCCGTGAAAGCAGGGACTCAGAACACAGAACCAACCACGATAGGAGTAGTGGAGAGGTAACATATCTAATCAGCATTAATATATAATTTAACAATTGCTATAATGAATAGCAGAATGTGACGCAACAATTATAAATGTTGTAATTTCTCACAGTTGCTTTAAAAACTAAAGAGAATATTTGATTTATTATATTCTGTGCACAATGAACACATTTCATTTGTTATACATATTTGGTCTTACTTATTCCATGTGTACGAGATATGCATGAAATATAATTCACAAATAATATTGTTTTTTAACTTGTCAGAGGAAATGTATCAAACCAGCAGTGTACATGTCGCAAATTTTTAATTAAAAAAAACCTTTACATTTACAGCCTGAGCTGTAATATTACATAAATTGATTCTTTAGCATGTATACATATTTTAATATGTCTAATATGTCAAAAATATATATCCCTTGTATAAGAATGGACTGTTAGATAATTTACATATGGCCACAGTCCTTGAAAAATAATATTTACAAAATTATTTATAAAATCTTTCTAAATAAAGCATTTAATATGCATTATGAGAATTGTGCATTTTTATTGGATAAAATATAATTTTTGGATGCATGCAATATCATAAAAATAATATGCGTATTCCTGTCTCTATAGATTTTACATCCCATAAAATTATCATCAAATTCATCAAGAGAATCTTCATCTCAGAGAAAACCATCACACAATTCCTGTCAGGTCAGTGTGATATTTACATTTATTTCTGTCAGTGCATTAATCAATTCAAAATTCTAAATTTATGTCAAAGTTAAAATAATATAATTTACGTAGCATGATTAATATGTATTTTATTAATACATTTGAAAATTTTAATTGACTAAAATATTATTCGTTAATATTTTAAAAGTTTCTGTACATTATTTTTTTTCTATGTTATAGTGAATTATTTCTGTTTATTTTGTTTATAATTTTAAGCAGTTATAATGTATTAAGTGCAAAAGGAATTGATGAAAAATGATAGCCTCAAGAACGGAAGAATGTAGCTTCAACTTTTCGACCAAGTCTTGGAATTAATGCAAATACTCTCCATGTATTCAATTGTTTCCGGAAATTTTAGAACAGTCTGTTTAGGATAAACGTGGTGATGAGCGAGGAGGTGCAATGGAACGTACAGCCAGGTTTGGCGATTGGTCGGAACACATGAGTTCATCGGGAAAGAAGTATTACTACAATTGCAAGACGGAAGTTTCTCAGTGGGAAAAACCACGGGAATGGGTCAGTCGAACAGATAATCGTCAACGTCAGTCTAGTGACTACTCCTCTAGGTCAAGTAAGTCCAAAAAGTCTTCAAAATATCAATTTTTGTAATTATCAAATGTATGTAAAATATTATATAGTAACTGAAAAAGCTGTAAATTGAAATTTTTTACCCAAATGAAATACAAATTAAAAAATTGAGCTTTTTATTTTTTTGTATATATAGCTTAAACATTTAACTACAGAAAATGTATTTAATTTTTCTTATCTTGGTTAGAATTTAGTATAGCATGTCGTTTGTTTATACTGTTTATCGATTTAAACAACAAAAAATTGCTTATTGCATTTGCATTTTTAAAAAGAAAATTAAGAAATACACTAGAATTATACTAGATTATATTGTGTGTGCAATTGATAACATTTTATATATTTCGACAGAAAAAAAACTGTCAAATATACGGAACTGTTCAAAATCTGGAATTTTTCCTGAACAGGTCATGATAAACATTCCAACTCGCGATCAAATAGCAGTAGCAGTATGCGAGATGGTAAATCGTCGCGACAATCTGACAAACGGGAATACTGGAGCTCATGTGGCGGGAGCAGTGGTGGCAGCAGCAGAGATGATGTTTCTGCGAGAGAGAGGGAACGAGAGAAGGAACGGGAAAGAGAGCGGGAACGCGAACGAGAAAGAGAATCTTGTAGAGAAGAAGCTGGCGTGGAACGCCAAGCTCAAGATATGGATATTTCGCCAGGCGATTCCACACCTACTTCGGAACCTTTGACATCCTGCGCTCACGATCCACTGCCACAAGGCCCTGTTCTCTTGGCCACTGGTACATTCTTTACTGATTAATTTCCTTCAATGTTATATAAATTTGAATTTTAATGATTTTGTGCTGTCCTAAGCATTACCTCGGTTAACATCCCATCCACCGTCAACGACATCACAGACGCCTGGAAAACTTAGTTCGCCCACGCAACAGCAAGGAAACAGTAATGCGCCGGGACCACCGGTGTCACTGGCAAATCTCCCAAGACTACTGTCGCAAATCACGGGCAACAAAGAACAACCTGACATCACGCCACAGAAAGCATTACAGACAATTTCAACCATTTTACTGTCCAGACAAGTAAGAGAATCTTACTTAAACTCTGCTGAAATGAGTAACATGTAATGTTTTTGTCACACAATTTTTAGACAATTAAAATTATTATTTCAATAGCTGTATTCAAGAGCATATTCCTTGGTTTTCAAAAAAGTATATTAGTATTATTAATTGCTCCTTTTTTCTGCTTTAAAATGCATACGAACAAAATTTATAATGTTATTATTTATTATCTGCTTATCGCTTTTAATGTAGCAGTCTACCGGCGGAGACCGAAGTAATAGTGGAAGTGATGTGATGGTTCCGCTAAAAGTTGATACAAGTGGCAATATTACCAGCGAGGGTCCACCTACTCCCACACATTCAGAAACCCAGGATTGTGTCGACGCGCGAAAATGTAAGTCCCATTATTTGAAGTTCGAAAATATTTATTTTACTTTATGTCAATTAAACAAAAGTTTATTTTCTTATATTTGCTATATTTTGGCCAATAAATAAATAATATTTCTATAATTTTTGGGTAGGTTTATAAAATGTCTGCAGAATCTTATCGCAAGATTTATTCGTGACATTTATTTTTCTTTATTCGTTACACAATACTAAAATTAAGTTTCAAAGAGTTGTTTAATCGAATAATTTCCGTTTCTATAATCTTTTTGTTTCCAAGTATTTCTTTTTGCATATTTGTGCTCTCTATTTTTTTTTTTTTTTTTACAGTAACGAGTCCTGGGGGGACAAATTCCGGAGTACAAGGTCTGAGTTCGTTGCAAAGTCTCAGTACATTAGGTTCTCTTGGGAATTTGAGTAATACAGGAGGCTTACAGGCATTATCTAGAGTGCAACCTCCCTTAACACCCTCTTTAACACCATCGCTCGCTAATCATTATCGGGAAGATTTGACGCAACATGTGCGTGCCTTTCCCGCTGATATTCTCGAAAAACAGGTGAGAATTTGACATTTTTTAGATAAGAGTTTTCTTTAAAAGGTTTTTCTCGTCATTTCTTAAATGAAACAATTTTTATGTTCAGGCACAGAAACTTAGTGAGGAAGCACACACGATGGGCAGTTTACAATCTACGAGAGTATCTGCCGAGTTGAAGACGGCACGATCGATAGTGAGGCTGACAGAGATTCAAGCAACGTTGCAGGAACAAAGGTAAGTATCTTATTTATTCTATACTATTTACAGGACATTTAATAGATAGTTTATAAAATTTGTATTGATTTATGAACATCTCATTTATTCGCTATTTTAGGATATTATTCCTCCGTCAACAAATTCAAACGCTCGAGAAGTTAAAATCCCAAAATTCCTTCATGTCTGACGATTCTTAGTGTAAGAATCTTTATAAAATAATTATAATTACAATCTATAATTAATTCAAGCAAAAATAAAACATGATTATTAATATTCTCATTAATATTGAATAATTAAGATTGTACCTAAATTATAATATCGTAATAGAAGTGATATAATAGCGAATGAACATGGGCTCCTCAGAGAGGATCGGCTGGATCTAGTAATCAGCCAATGAGTCTTAATAATTAATTATTAACGAATTTATTATTAGCGAATTCACCTCTCTGAGAAGCACAGCAGGCCTATCCAAGTCGCAAACACAACTCTAAATGAATAGAAAAACGAATCAATTTTATCAGTTCAATGCAAACTACTGAATTGTATATCTGAATTGTCCACATCGTCTTGTATTTACCTATGTTATACGTGTCAATGTTTCATATCCCAGGATTAAGCGGCATTTTAACTAGTTGAAACATTTTCGTTGTAAATCTCGGAATAAAATTCGTGCCACAAGTTTTAATACAGTTCTTTATCGCCATAGTCTCACTTACCTAATCTCCCGAATTCTTCGTTGAGAATCATTAAAAAAAAAAACTTGCACGCATTAAATAAATTTATATTCAATACGACTGGGAAATGTATGTTTTATATTCAGATTTCGTGTTCGATCTCCAATCATTTTATTACAGGGTTTTCTTGACATTATAGAATGTATCATCGCTGAGCAAATATTGATATATTGTTACACATGCTCTCCTATTTACATCGTGTAATTAAAAACTATAGCAGTGACAAAACTTTTAGATTAACTTAAATGGCCACCGTTTAATTTCTAGTGTGTAAATAGCTGAATCAGAGTGAGTACTATTACTTACAATGACAAAACTTTATGCATGGCGATTTTCTTGAGTTAGTAAGAATAATTATTGTATCGAAACTGTGGATTTAAAATAAAAATATGCATTTTTTATATTATACACTTACAGACAACTTGTTTCATTCGTAATTCCCTATACAATTATATCAAGTAAAGAAGCAAAGACCCGTTACATGGTACCCATAATTCTAGTGTTAAATAAACATAACAGGTATACGTAATAATCAGTTACAATGCAAATTCTAATAGTTATTTAAGGGACTATTATTGTTAAGGAATCCTTTATTTCGAGGTATTTCGAACATTTTTTACTGTAACATATTTATTTGAATAATATACTGCAAGAGATGGAAGAAGTGTATTAAAGGATTCGTATTGTACTGAAAAATATCCAAAAGAAAAATGTTTACATATAATATTGAAAATGATCTCTTATCTTTTGAAACAGATTATTATAACAATTTGTAGAGCGACATATATACATACATATAACATATGTATACAATTTAAGATGTTAAAAATCACGAATGTGACACAATAATTCACAGTATGTATCTCTTATTTTGTATATTTCTTTGAGGAACTGTCAAGGAGCGATCCTACTAATTACAGGAAACGAAAAATGAAAGAACGTATTCGTAAAATATTACACTTTATCTAAACATTGGGGACTGCGATCAAATTTATACTTTTAATGTCCGTTTCTAGATTACTTTTTGACCCAAAGAATTTTAATATAAATTTGCACATTTTACAATTTTTGCTCGATGTAAACTCATGCTAAAGAAAAAAAATTCTAACGCTATTTATATATGCGTGCACATAATAAAATTCTTTAGTTCAAATCACTATTTACTAAACGCTCTCCTATATTTTTCACTAAATATGAAATAAAACTATAACCCAAATTAACATCGTCATCTTCAATTAGTATTTTTTTTTTATATCTTAATATGTTATAATTATATAATCATATGACTATTTATGCATGCATTATATAATTATGTACGTGATTATATAATTATATAATAATTACATGCATAATTATGTAATCATTATGAATATATAAACAGAGCAGATTAGTATTAAGAATAATGTTGTGGTATCCTATCACGGTGTTTCTCAACACAAGCTCCAAATAGCCCTTAAGTATTACAAGTGCTATCCGTTAAGGCAATGTCACCTTTATTCAATAAAGTTAAGAAGCAAAGCAACTCTGCGGAGAATCGAGTTACTTTTTGCACTTCTGGTCCACAAAAAAATCCACATACATATGTTACATATATTTTTTTATTGATTATTATTATTGCGAGTATTATCGACGTCGCTTACGTCTTACCTATATATTTTGCGAAAATTAAATGCGTTTAATAATACGTCGTCTTAAAGGAAGAAATCGTGATTTGCGGATTTTAAGACAGATATATAATATATTCAATAATATAAAAACAAAAGATCGATTCAATCGCGTAACCATTAAAGCGTACTTCGTCGATTTTTCTTGTGCGAATAAAGATGGCTTTTCTTACACTTTGCGCATTATATACTATAACAAGTGTCTTTCAAATTGTTCTATGATCCATCGATTGAGAAACACCGATGAGTTTTCCGTAATATTAAACTAATGTTACATCATGTCATGAGAATGTGATAACATCCCCATAGCACCTGAAGCATACAGTGAACATTCTCCCATGTATTATTTTATTTAATTACAGTCAGTCATTGGATTTATTTCATAACAAACTCCCTCATTTCTGAACTTCTTCATTAGACAATTGCTTAATATATTCTCGATAGAATCGTTACAGGCATTCAGAAAAATTCAGTACAATGTATAATTTCCAATGGACTAAGATTATAATAAGGCCTCGGAATATTTGACATATTGTATCATCCCATCACTCATAGGAACATTTACGTGAAAATAATCATCGTGAATGGCGATTAATATATATGTGTAATATAATTAATAGACACATAAAAGATGGATGTTAGTGTTATATAAAAGGACATAGGCTCTCTTCTAACGGTATCATCTATCTTGTAAGCTTGTGCGAATTACTAATTTTTACATAAAATAATAGACTTGAATAATATTTTGTTACACATTGCAAAACATGAAAATGAATATGAAAAAGAGAATTTCTATCAGTCATGAGATGTTACATATCTATTGTTGAACGTTTTTATAATGAAGTACTCTTCAGATGTTTATGCAAACATATTACAATGGAGAGTATATAAAGTGCTACAAAACAATTCCAATACGATTTGCTTTACAGTCGTTAATATATCTATGTTATACGTTCATTATGTATTTGTAAGGCCATATACGAAATTTAATATAAAGATACTGCCTTTGTAGGCGGTATTCGATATATCGATTAATTTGGAAATTTGCCTACTCATAGACAAATGGACGACACAGCCTCAACAGAGAATGTTCACAGTGTAAGACAGCAGCACAGACATATCTCAGCGCAGCCTCACTTTACCATTAATTACAATGTCTTCGTTTTGCCATCGTGTAAAACAGAGTCTTGCCGAGCACTTAGTTATGTCCAAAATATCCTTTGTAGGTAGTCAAGTATGGGCTTCGCTTAAAAACTAAAGTAATTTCACTTAAGTGTGAATTGATTTTTAACGTATTAAACTATTCTCGATTTTACATACATCTGCATCACAGAAAAGTTTTCTTGAAATCACCCATATACTAATACTATATAAATTTAATTAACATTGCTCACATTTGAAATGAAAAATTCGCCCACAAAGAATATTTTGACAATATTAAAAATACATGTTTAACAGAGAAACTATCGTTTGAATTTTTGTCTCTTAATATATATAATGTATATAGAAGTTAAAAAATCTCTTAATGTTTACATGTAAATATTACATAACAACGGATAAACAACAACGTCTAACAGAATGTTTTGTACCTAAGCGTCTAATATGGCATAAGATGGGTCATGTGCCGAGTTATTCTTGGCTACTGTCGAGTCTAAGCCAATATTATACACAACTAGCCTAATCTTAAATAAGACGTGTATGATTTCAATAATAATTCATTAATTTCATATCACTACACGTCATCTAACTACTTTCCGCTTTAGGGACTTCTAAAAAGAATGGCTTACACTATCAGCTGTTTTGATAACTTCAAAGATGCGTTAAATTAATATCACTCTAAGAAAATTGCATTTGCAAAAATTATTTTTTCCAACGAGTTACACCATTGTAAAAATGTCAAAAATTATTTTCTAACTAAAAGAAAGTAAACTTTCTGTGTAAATAGTAAAAAGAAACATTTTTTTCAATATTTAAAAGATCCAATAAATATTACTGTTTATATTATTCATAATAACGGAATGTTTTGACAGTATTTAAACGTTTTCGATTTTTTGATCGACTTTGTTTCAGCGATATTTAGAGTGATATAAGTAGAGAATTTTATTAATCAAATTGATTAACAGATCAAATTATAGTAAAACAAATCTTTATTTACTTACATCACCCTAATGTATAAGCAGATATTAATAATAAACGAAAAATAATACATATTTAAAAAAAATTAGAAACTTGTTATAAATAACATACAATATTTTAGAAAAAAAAAAAACTCTTTAGAAGCCCCGTAATAATTTATTCCCATTCAACATACCCTTTTTCAAATTTATTTCACTCGCTTTATGATAAAACACACAACATTATAATATAATCCTATCAAAATGGCATTCAGTATTTTCTTATAGAATAATTTCATTCAATATATAAAAAAAATATACAATTTCGATTACTCAATGGAAACATACAGTAATCGTCAGTTTGTACTATCCGAATGCCATTTTCGTGTATATTACACTTTTCCTGGACTAGTTCTACAAAGATTGTGTAGGGCTGCCCACGAAATTCTAATTAAAATATAATTAATGTCTATACGTAGTGGGACTTTATTGATATATAGTCAGTTCACAATGCTCGCAATATTACGATGTTACACAAGTGCCTTTAGGCTTATCATGGACACTTGAAGACAATTATTTGATTACATAGATAGAGAATCGTGTAAGATCTTGTTTGAATAATTAGCATAAAATCATAAAACAAAGGGAATATTATAATATACATATAAAAAATTATTAACATTTTTCCGCAGAATATATAAGATCGAGTAACTAAATATTACTTTCAATACACGAAAAAATATACGAAATATACGCTTTTAGATATACGAAAAAATTGCTCGAGGGAAAGCTGTAGCTACAGAAGGATGAAAAATATGTTGAAATTATAATAAATTCAAACTTTTTATACCGAGATATCTTTTCACATATTTGAAAGCATCGAAAATACTCGGATATTATTTAGTCGCTCTATTCTATACATAATGGGTTGAGTAGGAAAATTATTTGTGCACATTACATAATGCTTCTAAATTATATCATCTCCAAATAAGTCTCACATCAAGGTTCTCTTACAAAGAATAGTGCTACGAGCTGTGACTGACATACTTACCTGAGCGGGTGACAATTTCCCACTAGTCTTCACCTTCAATTGCACGCATTAAGTGCTTATTAGATTCCTTTATCGAGGTACTTTTCAATTTCGGTAAATATATATGTTATCTCGAGTATATCATGTCGCGGTACACATACACACTACATCTGGATTTTCCTTTTTATTTTTTCTTTCCCTTTTGGTAAGGTCTTAGTGATGCAACAGCATCACGATTCACTGGCTTCACGCCAACTCCATGGTATTATTTTCATTATTACTGTATAATTTAAATAATTTATAATTTACATTTTCCTGTAGAGAGAACACAAGTGGTTGTACGCAAGCATGTTCGGTTAGCTTCGGGTTACTATATTACAAAGATGCTTGGTATATACCACCACACTGATGCGAACGATTGATGATGACAGAATTTCATTGTACACCGTATTGTATAACGCTTAAAATACATACAGAAACACACCCAGATACACAGATAGATATAAGGACGCACCTGAGTGTATGCGTGAATGTTGTATGTTACATGCTCTCTACCGCATGCATCTTCTAAATGCTTTTTTGATTTTCCGTGATGTTGCCGGTGCTGGTTGGGGTGGAGCACTGCAAGGCGAGACAGTTTATTTAGTATATATTCTGCACATATAGACTTGGATAAATTACGAGCTTAGTACACTTACTTGAATGCTGCTGGTACATTTCCCTTGGTGAAATTGAACGAAGGTCGGCTGTTGGGATCAAAAGCTACCGCGGGAGCGGTAGTAGGAGGATTGAAATTAAATCCACCGGTTGGCGTTGATGTAGATGACTGCAACATTGTACAATGGTGTAATTTTATTTGAAAGAAGCTGGATAAAAAATTAATTCCGGCACTTGTGTATTATCTTGTTAATGTATCGAATATATGTAGCAAATAGCTAATATTTACCATTTCTCCAAAGTTAAAACCACCTGAGGTTGCAGCAGGTGGAGCTGTAGATCCAAAATTAAATCCTGTACTGGACGAAGCAGTAGACGAGAACGATGATGTTGCCTGAGTCTGTGGATTTGTTTGCGATGCGCCAAACATCGGAGGTGTCGTTGCATCCTGACCGAATGCCGTCGGTGCCTCTTGTTTCGGTGGGTTGAACGCAAAATTAGGTGCGTTAGTCGCAGCAGTGTTAGCCCCGAATGAACCGAACATATTGTTATTACTTTGCGGCGTGCTTGAATTACTACCAAAAGTGAAGAACGGCTTCGCAGACGATGCTGGTGGATTGGTGTTCGCGGAGAAGTTAAATCCGCCGCTTGACGGTTGCTGCGATGATGTCGAACCGAACGTGAATATGGCGGGCGTCGCTGCGGTATCACCGAAAACGGGTGTAGTAGTGTTTCCAAAGGCGGGTGTGCTGGATGATCCGAAGAGCGACGGAGTAGCGCTGTTGGATGGTGCGCCAAACGTTGGTATAGGATTCACCGCGGGTGTTTGCGCGGATGAATTAAATTCGGGCAATTTCGTTTCCTGCTTTGACGATCCGAAAATCAAAGGCGGCATTGTTGCTTGCATCGTCGTGCCTTTTGTACCAGCAGTGTTTAACTTTTGCGCGGATGATTCCGTGGCAAAATCTGTCTTCTTCGGGTTCGTTTTTAGAGAAGTGGGTTTGACCGTGTCACAACAAGGACACGCAAGTATGTTCGCAGCGTTTCGCAGCATGCAGCCGGAACATTCCCACGATCCTTCGGCAGGTTTAAACTTCTCCATTAAATCGGTGTTTTGGGACTTGATAGCTTGCGGCTTCGCAGACGATGCAGGTGGATCGGTGTCCGCAGAGAAGTTAAATCCGCCGCTTGACGGTTGCTGCGATGATGTCGAACCGAACGTGAATATGGCGGGCGTCGTTGCGGTATCGCCGAAAGCGGGTACAGTAGTGTTTCCAAAAGCGGGTGTGCTGGATGATCCAAAGAGCGGGGTAGCACTGTTAGACGGTGTACCAAACGCTGGTACAGGATTCACCGCAGGTGTTTGCGCGGATGAATTGAATCCGGGTAATTTCGTTTCCTGTTTCGGTATTCCAAAAATAAAAGGTGGCATTGTTTCTTGAATCGTCGTGTCTTTCGTACCAGTGCTTAACTTTTGCGCGGATGATTCCGTGGCAAAATCCGTCTTCTTCAGATTCGTTTTTAGAGAAGTGGGTTTAGATGCGTTACAGCAAGGACACGTAAGTACGTTCGCAGCGTTTCGTAACAAGCAACCGGAACATTCCCACGATCCTTCGGCAGGTTTAAACTTGTCCATTAAATCGGAGTTTTGGAACTTGATATTTTGCGGCGTCGCAGAACTACTTCCGGGTTTCGGTGTAGAGCACGCTACGCATTTGGCATCACTCTGCTTGTTTCTTACACAGCAAGTCGTACATTCCCATTGATCTTTGGATAGTTTAAATTGAGAACCGAAGCAATCGTTTGCGACTGGTTTGGATTTTACGACGGTTTCCGTCGTTGACGTTGACGGCAATGAAGTTTTATCATTGGGATTCGACCGGACAATTTTACACGCGGTACATTGTTCATCCGCATTGCTGTTCCTGATCAGACATTCACTACACTCCCAAGATGACTCGGCATCACGTGTGTCTGAGCTAATAAAAGTGCTGGCAATCTTATCCGTAGATGATCTTTCAGAAGCCGAGTTTGATTGCTCGACGAAATTAGAATCCATCTTGTTAGATTTGGGACTCAAAATATCCATGACACTTCCCGACTTCAGTTTCGATGCCTCCTCAGATTCATCCTTGCTATTTTTTACCTTTGCTTTTAATCTAGGTGCTGTCGACGAGCCGGACCAAATAAAATTCGGCATAAACATGGTCGCAGCGGGCGCAGTAGATTCCGTATTTTCTGTCTTCGAAGGTGAGTTTGAATCAATCATATTCACGTTGTCTTCAGTGTTAATCGGGTTATTAAGAGGTTCATAGTCATCAGACTGCAAATTTTTTCCAGAATCTGTCACCTTAATTGGGCTAGCAAATGAGAAGGTGTTTTCTTTATTTGCGGCAATTTTGCCCGCAGTGTGTGAAGCGGGAGGTGGTATCCCGAAATTGAAACTGGGTAACGTTGTTATTGGCAGAGGTATGTTCGGTAAATTTACAAGTGTCGCTGTTTCTTCTTGCTCCAGATTTATCTTCGATTTACCCTTTAATTTGCCGTGATATTTTTCACCGTCGCTGTCCTCCGTCCTAGAAAGTATACATTTAATTAATTTTATTTTTTGTGAAGCATGCAAATGTCGTAAAACAATATTTAATAAATATGTACCTCAGTTGACGTTTCGGTGTGGAGCACGCTACACATTTGGCATCACTCTGCTTGTTCCTTACACAGCATGTCGTACATTCCCATTGATCTTTGGATAATTTAAATTGAGAACCGAAGCAATCGTTTGCGAGTGGTTTCGATTTTACGGTTTCTGTCGTTGACGTTGACGGCGATGAAGTTTTATCATTCGAATTCGACCGGACAATTTTACACGCGGTACATTGCTCATCTGCATTGCTGTTTCTAATCAGACATTTACTACATTCCCAAGATGACTCGGCATCACGTGTGCTTTTGATATCTGAGATAACAAACGTGCTGGCAATCTTATCCGTAGATGATTTTTCAGATACTAATCCCGAGTTTGATTGTTCGACCAAATCAAATTCCATTTTGTCAGATTTGGGACACAAAATATCCATGACACTTCCTGATTTCAGTTTAAATGTCTCCTCACATCCTACAAACTCATCCTTGCTATTTTTTATCTTTGTTTTTAATCTAGGTGCTGTAGACGAGCCGGACCAAATAAAATTCGGCATAAACATGGTTGCGGCAGGCGCAGTAGATTCCGTATTTTCTGTCTTCGAAGGTGAATTCGAGTCAATCATATTAATTACGTTATCTTCAGCGTTAATTGGATTACTAAAAGTGAAATTGTTAACAGGCTGCAAATTTTTTCCAGAATCCGTCACTTTAATTGGGCTAGCAAATGTGAAGGTGTTTTCTTTATTCGCTGTGGTTTTGCCCGCAACGTGTGAAGCGGGAGGTGGTATCGTGAAATTGAAATTGGGTAACGTTGTTATTGGCAGGGGTATGTTCGGCAAATTTACAAGCGCCACTGTTTCTTCTTGCTCGAGATTTATTTTCGATTTACCCTTTAGTTTGCCGCGATATTTTTCACCGTCGTTGTCCTCCGTCCTAGAAAGTGCACATTTGATCAATTTTATTTTTTGTAAAGACGTGTACATGTCGCAAAATATTTAATAAATATGTACCTCAGTCGATATTCTTGCGGAGATGGAGGCGGATCACTGCGCGCTGAAACAATCCTTCTAGCCGCAAGAGTTGTATCTTGTAACTTCTGTCGTCTTTTTAGCTTCAATATATCGGGAACAGTTGGTACTGTCAATTCACGTGTCAAATGACGCAAGCCAATTCTAGCAGATGGGTTGGTTCTGTCCAACCCATCTTCTAGAACCTGCGCTCGTGTTCGCTTCCTGCTCACTGTCGAGGAAACGATATTATTTGTGTTCTTCAATGGAATTTTCTTTGCGTCGGTTATAGGCGAAGAGAAATGTTCTAATGCTTCCAATATTTTTTTGGCAGTTTGACTCATGCCCGATGAATCAACTGTTGAGTTAGGTGATTTAACTTCAACATTTGTCCTCCCTGGTACTTTAAGTTGCAACTAAAATTAACGTACAAATTAATATAACTCATTATATAAACAATAATTCTTAATTATTAAAGTAATTTAAAACATACAAGATCCAATTTTTTCTAAAAAAAATCATTAAAATACATACCTCGCTTGAATTATTAAAAACATTCCGACCTCGCTTATAAAGACCTGCCGCGTTTGCACCACCAAAAGTTGTATTACCACTATAAAAAGGGGAGGACAGAGGAGACGCCCGATCTAAAGCATTTGCTACAACTGACGCGTTAAAACTGGGCCTACGACTGCTTAAAGTATCACGAGAATTTATGTCTAGAAGCAAGGACCTTGAAGTTTGTAAATGATCAGCTGAAACAAAAGTAGAATTCACACAATATATGAATGTATCAATTTATTATCCTTTAAAAAAAGCAGTTTTTAATCTTTATGTAAAGTACGATTTGTACTCACTATATGTCAATTTATCATCAATATGTCTCTTTCTATTGCTAAACGAACTGTATAACAAATTTGATGGGCCCTCGTGTCTATTTATCTGCGGAATAAGAGAGCTACATCCACTGGTACTTTCACTCAATTCCGAATTATCATCCATCCCATTTGCTATCCCGTTATTAGTTGACGAAGCTAAAGAGTTTAAGTCAGATCTGTGAGATGTTACAGTTCTAATATCTGCCTGCACTGCAGGAGTCGAAGATATTAAACGACCTATCCCGCTTGGTCCAGCTATTGCAGGTTCCATAAAATCTTCCGTCTGTAAATAAGTAGTAATAACAAAATTGTTTCTCCTGAAGCATATCATTGCTGCAAATATTTAACTTACCACTTCATTGTGAACAGGATATTGCTCTTTAGAAGAATCAACTGTTTTTAATGTAGTTTTAACTCTTGATTGTATAGAAAATGTACCGGGCGGATGAATCACATCCATGCGAATACATGATCGTTTGCTAGGAGGAGGCTGTTGCACATCATCCTCCAGTTCTGTTTCTTCAGTATTCTCTCTACTTTCTAATGTATCTTCATTACCTTGAGAGGTATTAAACCACTTGCCGAAACCACTAATCCAGGAAGATTGTGGTATGAGGTCTTTTGCCTTATTTGCCACTCTTTTTACGAATGACTGTAAAGAATATAGACATACAAATATGAAATATACAAATGAAACATATATGCAAAAATTATTACAATGCTTTAAGTATTTATCATCTAAAGTGAAAATAATTCCGAGTGTCATCATATGCATATGTATTTTGATTAGTCATTCAAGCATATTGCAGATAATATCAAAATACAAGAAAATCTGAAATGTTCGACATTTGCCAAGGAATATTCGAGAGATTGAGAGAGGGATATATAATTCGTGTTTTTCAAATTGGGAATCTGGTGCCAGGTCAGACGCAATCTTTAACGTCTCTTTAAATGCGTCTTTTGCGTATAATGAGGTTGCGCTTCAAGGTTACAGCGCACATAATACACGAAACGTTCGTCTCGCGGCAAGGGTAAGATTGAGGTTATCATCATCAGGCACACTCACATAACCGTGACACCGTGGATATCGCGCAGGGGGAGTTTGTCTTGGGGAAAGGGCGGGCATGCGGGACATCTTGTGGCGAGAAGTCAGCGCTCGATGTCGGTTTAAGCGTCGTGCTATTTTGGGCCCAAAGTCGCGCGCGAACGGCGCGCGGCCCATCGTGGGCTCGCTCATGCCGCGACGATCTCGTGCCGTGGTCAGATTACTCACGTTGCTCGCGTCGTAGGGCTGCGCGTTCCGCGACGACGGTCGCTTGCCGGCCGGATTGCCGCTTCCCTTGGCCATGTTCCGCCGTTGTTCACTGCACTGCACTGTACGATGATGGTTACGAGACGCATACACGCGACACAATCATCGCCTTCGTGAAATTGTCACCGCCGGAACCGCACCACCTTCTTGCCTACGGATGAGAGACCACGAGAGGAAATATGGCCGCACTCGGCCTCAAAGACCGCCACTAGGGCGCTAGCAGACTTTCTTCAAATCGCGCTCGATGCGCTTGCCCACATGACACGCGCATTATGTGGTTCGCGCTCACCACGGCAGCACTTGCAACTAGTGAAGCCATAGAGCATATGCAAAAGTGTGAGCGTATCTTAGGGCGGTATTCATAGTCCGTTCTTAGGGTGCCGTCACATACAGCCCGTAATCCGTAATCCGCACCG